GGCGGCGGCTACGGCGGCGGCCTCCGGGGTCGCGGGCTGAGGTGAGTTGAATGCTGAAGGAATATTTGAGGAGAATTCATCGTCGTCGTCGTCATCGTCGTAGGAGCCGTCGAGTTGGGAGAGCCGGGGGTACTTCACGTGCGGGAATGTTGGGAGGGTGGTTGAACTGGCGAGGAGGCCGGGTCGGAAGGTTGTGGTGTACATTGTGCTGGTGATGGATATCGATGATGCGGGTGATCGAGAAAAGTGTGTGGTGCGTACCAGAGAGATGGATACTTCCTCGTTTCAAGTGCTGTCGATTGATGCGAAGACCACAAAATATGATGGTGATTTGGTTCGAGAGAAAAAAAAGTCCGAGGATCTGTGGCTCAGAGGACAGGTATTTATGCTTTCTGACTGTGCTGGCTGGAGGAGAGAGAGCGCGCGCTCCTTGAGGTCGTGAGCTGTCCAATTGTTCTATTGTGCCTCGATAGGATTGCCTAGTAGCCGAATATCGGTCAATAGGAGAACGTAAGGTAGGTAAAGTTCAATGGGCTTGAATAGCCAAAAAACAATAGAGAGATGGAGCATAGCAGGTCGTGGTTATGCTTGGATAGTGTTTCTTGCCGTGAATACCCTCTCGAATGCGCTTTGGGGCGGAAGTGTTTTACTGGAAGGGTAGGCTAAATTTCGAACAATAGAGGGCATGTTGAGGACGAAGGAGTCCTTTCTGCTATTCATTGAAAAATGGATTATGTCGATTGGAGCTCTCAATAGGCCGAGTGTGGGCTGTGCAGTCACAGTATTGGAATAGGACAATGGAGTTGACATTCAGGAGGTGGTCTTGGCATGTCGCAGTCTTCGCATATGTAACCGTTTATGAGGGTGCACAACAGACAATCCCTCAAGCAAGGCTGATCGAGCGGAGCAGAGGAAGCATGTTTGAAGAAATGATGTCTTCTATTCTTGATCAGCGTTCAATAGCTCGTCATTTCTTGTTTAATAAACTCCTGAAGTCATCATTACTCTTCCCAGCTTGGGTCGAAGTATTTGTAGGCTCTTCCTGTTGAGACTTGCCACTTGGAGCAACGAATCCTAGACCTCTTTTCTGTCCTAGGCCTCCCCTTCTCCCAGCTTGCTGACCAGGTCTCCGTATTGGTCCAGAAGGCTGCAGGCTTGCTTGAGTTGATCCGGGATTATCCTTTTTTGCTTTACCGATCTGAATCTTGTCAGTCTTCCTTTCAGCCTTCTCCCTCAACATTTCTGGCACTATTCCCACACGAAGATTCCGTCCAGGGGTGATCTCGTAGCCTTCCAAGCCAAGGGATGCCTTTCCGGCATTTTGTGCATCAGTATACTCAACGACTGCACCTTGGTGATCTGGCCGCAACACGATCTTGACGAGGCTACCATAGGGTTCTGTGATGGCTCGAAGACGACTATCGTTGACTGTGTCAGGAACGTTCATGAGTGCTATGGTGCGAGCTTGTCGGTCTCCTGAAGGTTGCTCGATATTCGAGGATGTCGTTGACATCGCAGAAGGAGATCCTGCAGCGCCATTGACTCCGGTGGACGGAGACATCGATCTGTCGACACTAGAGATGATAGTAGTTGCTTGTCGTTTGGCACCCATCTTGCTCGAAATTTCAACATGCAATTCCCTTGACATGAATGAATGGGCGTTCAGTGCAGTGGCGGCATTTGCCTCTTCCTGCAAAAGGTTAGCAATGTTGGCAATGTTCTAAAAAAAAAAGAAATGCGGACTGACCTCTGACGAGAAAACCACATAGCAAAACCCTTTGCTCTGGCCCTTAACATTCCGAGGAATTCTCACGGATTCCACATTACCATATCTGCTGAAAAGAGTCTTCACATCCTCCTCTGATGCGCTCCAGTGCAGGTTTTTGCAAAAGACCTCTCTACCTTCTTCCATTGGCCCAGTCCGATCTTGCTTTGCAGCAGGGTTAGATATCTTCGCGACAAGCTTCAAATCTTGATCCATTTGTTGTCCATCCAGCTCTGTTGCAGCTTGTGCTTGTTCATTCAATCTGAACTGAACATAACAGAATCTGCGGTGGGTGTTGTACTTCAGTGAAGGAAAGCGAACGTCGACAATCTGCCCGAATCTGTCAAACAATTCTCGGATATAGCCCTCATCCGCGGTGGGTGGAAAGTTCGACACGAAGATTGTAGAACCACTGCCCAGCTGTATGTGCAATGGTTGTCCTTCAAAGTCTTTGCCGTCACGTGTCTGTGCAAACAGAGCAGCTTCCCGTGCATCGAACTCGATGACAGCACTTGTGCCATTCTGATGTATGATCTTGAGACTATTGACTTTTCCACAATCTCGGAAAAACTGACGTAGCTTGAGTTCTGTGACAACCTCGGGAAGATTCTGAACAAGTATCGTGGCGTGTTCACGATCCCGCTTGACTTGTTTCCGGCTTGCTACTGTTGCATTGACCTCTCTTCCATTTCCGCCCTCAATCTTGCTCTTTTTGCTCGAGTCAGCAACTGGCTCGTCTTCACCACCTCGCTTTCGCTTCCCTGATGGGCTCGTATTCGCCTCTATCGTCCTCGTTATGGCCTCCGCTGCATGTTGCGGAGGTAACGTCGCCTGAGCTTCACTTTTGGCCGCAGCCTGAAGAGCCTCAACCTCTCTTCTCCTTGCAATAATCTTCTCCATCTTCCTCACTTCCACAATGGCCATTTGCAATTCTTCTACATCTTCATGATCCTCACAGTGTGTAATGTATGCACACATGACCTTCTCGGGCCAATCTAGAGTTTCTCTCTTGACCGCCTGACGCAGGACAGCGGTTGCATAGTGCGGAACAGGGGTTTTCCTGGAAATGTTACCATCTTCAGTCTTCTCTCGCTGGATGAATTTGGCCCAGCAACTCATCTCCCACATGTAGAACTGGATCCAGAATGTCCAAGAGTCTCCTTGTTTGGGGATTAGACCTCGAAAAGTCTCCCTTGCAGTGTCCCAGCTGCCGCTCTCGCTCAGAAACTTGATGTAGATCCGTTCGAGTCGGAACATGGGATCAGGATTGCTGCCTTCACCGAATTTCCTGGTTGCCAAGTCTTGCAGGTCCTCGATGGCGGATCTGATGCCCATTTCGGCAACATCAAGATCCTCATCTGTCGAGTCAACCTGGAAAGCACGTCTGCGCAGATACGTGCACCAAGCAGCGTAAACCTTGATCACTTCTTCGACACCACCGACATCTAGCAGACCCGTGTTGGTTGCTCTGTGCTTGATGTCTTCGGTTTGAGAAAAGCTCTGGGCTTCTCTTTCTGAGCTCAGCAGGTATTGTGCCCACAGCGAACCCGACCAGGGACAGTGGCGAGTGGCTCGCCCCAACGTAGGTAGCACGCTCTCAGTGGTGCGGTGGGCGTGACCTTCTTCAATCAGGTAAAGAATGTGATCTTCCCACAGTTGAGGATCCGAGGGAAAGCGCAAGGCAGCCCGTTGGTAGAGAGCATTCGTCAAATCGAAGCTGAATCGTTTTCTTCCTGCTAGTGTTCGCTCCCATTGCACGTAGTTGGCGAGAGCCACATATTCGGCGGCTCGATCACCAGCTTCTTGAGCTTGTTGAAGCGCAATCTCCATTGGCTGTCGAGCGTCCCACTTCGACTTCGCGTCTGTGGCTTTGCGATTAGTTGTCACCATGATTTCCTCGTACTGCTTGTCCATGTAAGCTGAAACGAAGGTCGAGAACGCCTGGAATGTTCCGTCCCAGTCCGCATGGGGTGTCTGTAGCCGGGCATCAAAAAGAAACTTGATTTCTCTTATCAGATCTTCCGATCGAGTCTTTTGTGAGTCCTGGATCAGAAAGTCAATGTATCGGTTCCACACCAGGTGACTATCGTTCATCCTCCACATCGTCTCTTCAGCACCTCTTTGCCAAACTTCCACTACCACGCTCCACGAGAAAATATCTTGCCCGACCTCTCGCTCATCCTCTGAAAGGCCAGCCGCTGCCTCTTCTGAAGTTTGATGGTACAGCTTGTGCGTGTGGAGTAGCCATTCACCATACACTATCCACAACTTCACACTGCCATACTCTTCGGTCACAGCCTTGGAACATTTTTCCATCAGAGATATCTTTTCTTCAATGGTCTTCGCCAGCATGCTCTCATCCTGGATCCATTCTGCCCAGAGATCTTCGCCAATGGCAAAGATTTTATCCATACCCTCCCTTGCAGCGCGAAGGTCGTGAAGGAGGTCAAAGCTGTGAGGATCCCCGTGAGCGTCAGGTGAAGTAGGAGGATAGACGTGATGGACAAATGCTTGGTGCAACAACCTGATGAGCTGGGCGTGGGATTCGTAGGAATGCGGGTTCTGCTGCAAGTCGACGGCCAACACGTTTGCATTTTTTTGCAATTCTGGTGAGAGTGAAGTTCCAGCAAAGTCGATTCGTGCCGCCGGCTTTGGTGTCTCCGCCATTGCAATGTCAAAAGAAGCTCGTGGATTTGCTGCTGCGCTGGGTGGCTGCACCACTGGGAAAATCGTCGATGGTGTAAGCTGGCTTTCGTAGGAATCTTTGCTTCTCAAAGAGGGTGCAGCTGACCTGGTTGGTTGATGATTCTGCATCGAAGCCAGATCTGCAAGTGCATCCATACTCGGCGTAGAGGATTGTCGACTCACTTCCACAAGGCGCGGCGGTGTCGAATTGCGTAGAACACCGGTAGTTGGACTTGCCAAAGGAGAAGAGGCTGTTGGCCGGTGAGTCGGAGTGGACACGTGGAGAGGAATATTGGAAGCAGGCACTGCTGAATGGGAAAGAGGCAACGAGGTCAGGCCACGCTTGACCGGGCCGGATGGGTGTCTCCGCATTTGCTTTCGAGGTGACTGCATGGACACGGGTGGAGGAGACAGAGGCTGAGTGGCCTCGGGAGGAGAAAGTAGCGAAGAAATGTCCATCTTTGCATTCACCAAGTCTGATCTGTGTTAAGTTTGGTAGTACTTGTGGAACAGCATATTCTTCCGATATCTATTCTGTCCGCAGCGTAAGCAGATCTGTTTGCATTGTCTGGGAGAGCAGCGAGTGCTTCAGGCATCGAGTGCTTCAGGCGTCGAATGCATCCAATGGTAAGCTCAGCAGTGTCAGCGCTTTTGTGTACACACGATGCCGCGGCCAAAGGCTTGTTGGGCTGGGGTTTGAGATGGCACGAGGGCTGTAGCTTGTTCAGCGACGACAAGAATCGATCAGGATGCGCTTAAAGGACGGGCTGGTCTCGAAGAAACATCTCGAAGAACGACAGGAGGGTAGGAGAAGAGTTTGGCCAAGTCCAGAGTCAAGCCTGTGGAGCAGAGGCGCTGGTGATCGTCCGTCCCAAGACCAATCAGGGGGAGTCCACTTCTGGGGAACCGACCTATGGCGTAAGTTTGGGGGCAAGCACTGCAGCCGCACAGCTAGAACAGCACCAGAAGGGGCAATTCCAGCGCCGCCAGTCCGCCAGCCCGCCAGTACGAGCCTCCAATCCTCCCGCCTCGGCGAACCATCATTCTCCGCACCCCCTACCGCCCCTGTAAGTCGACCGTAAGTAGACTGCAAGTCGATAGTTCAACCTCCAGAAAAGTTACAGCTCTCACACCACCCTTCATCCACACCGGCCGTCCATATCGGCCATCCATCATATCACGATGAACTCTAGCCTTCCCCTTCCGCTTCCCCTTCCCTCACGGCGGCTACTGCCACCAGGTACCTCGTCCCAGTATCAGAGAGCCATGAATGGCTACTAATACGATGTATCATAGCTTCAAGGTACCTCCAATGCACACTCCCTTGGACATGCTCAAACCACCTTTACCCATCTCGTTCTATCCTGGCCATCTCGAAACTACCCCAATGTCGAAATACCCGCCACTTCCAGACGTCGACCTCTTCCCGGAAAGTCCCAAGGTTGCGACCAGGTGCCTACACGCCGCAGATCAATGAAGCCTCCATGAAGTCATCGCCCGGGGCCACAACAGCTTCCAGAGCAGACAAGCCGCACATGGATGTACAACAGCGTGCCGAAGCTGCTGCAGCTCGTGCTCGTGCTCGCATTGCCGAAGAAGAGAAAATGGTACTGGAACAGGGCTCACTGGCGGACAATAGTCTCTTTGCAGACCCTCTGCAGCACCAGCGTGCAGGCGCGCCCGCGGGACCCACCGCTTTGGGTGGGCAAGATGGCCTGGGCTATGACCCGGCCGCGCTCGAGCTACGCAACCCTTCCCACCTCGAAGCAGCTATCAACCCCAAACCCAGACGGCGTGCTCTGTGGCAGCGACGCATGGTGATCCGCAACGTGCGCCAACGAGGCCGTCTCACCAAGACCATCAAAATCGCGCGATCCGAACGCTCCTGCCTGTCCCGGTCTCTCATTGAGATCGATGCCTACTCCTACGCGGAGATGTAAGCCAAGAGCAATACGGCAAACCCATCGACGAAGCCATCCTCCAGATGCGCTTCTCCAAGAAGAAAGTCGCCCAAGAAGTGCGCGAGCACCTCCTCGAAGCCAAACAAGAAGCCATCGTCACCCGAGGCATGGGACTCGGCCACCTAGAACAAGAAACCTCTGGTCCCCGGCACCTCAACCGTCCCCAGCGCCTACCACCACCACCCTCCCCCCCTCCGTCTCCCCAACAACAACATCCACCACCATAATCCAAACCCACACCCCCCCCACGCCCAGCAAACCGGCAACCCTCCCAGGGACCAGCATCCCCAGCAACCCGGCCCACCGCTCGCCCACCGACATCTACATCTCGCAAGCGTGGATCAACCGGGGCCCCTACCGGCAAAAGCCCGACTACCGCGCCTTCGGACGCGTGTTCATCATGCGACCGCCCCACACGGGCCTCTCGGTGCTGCTCAAGGAAGAGAAGACGCGCGCGAGGGAGAAGGCAGATAGAGAGATCAAGCGCATCAGGCAGCGCATGGGCCGGAGTATGTGGACCCAGCTGCCCGATCGGAAGATCAGTAGGCAGGGCCAGTATTTGTTGTGGTAGGATGTGGGAAGATGGGTTGGGAGGGTGTTGGGATGGTATGAGGAGCTTGTAGTGGGTATAGTGTAGGGGGGTAGTGATGGAGCTGTGAGAAATGGGTATGTAGTGGGAGGGGGTGCTGGACCAGTCAATCCCGTTTCAGATATAGAGAAGCACAGGATAGAGGAATCGGTGCACAAACATCTTGATTCTCTCTCTCTCAAGAGAGGACATAAATAGCCCAACCTTTGCAATGGACCAGGTCATTCATCTCATTCATCCATCCATCCCAAACACGACCCAAGCGGCCACCACCACGACGACACGATGAGCAACTGCAGCATGAAGAAGCAAGAAGCAAGAAGCGGCTTACCGAAAAAAACCTTGTATTGGTACAAAGAAAAAGAAAAAGCAAATCTATCACGCCTCCAAGAGGCCACCCCACCAGGCAGCAAAACCAGCAAAACAACCCAACACCCTCTCCCATTCTCTCTCCTCCCTCCTCCCCCCTCATCCCCGCCTCACCTTCTTCCGAACCGGACTCCCCTTCTCCTTCGCTCCTGCCTGCCCCTCATTCTCATCCTCATCCTCCTCCCGCCCCCTCTTCTCCCCAGCAGCGCGCTGGATCCT